GTAGCCTTTCGATAAGTTAAAAGCTTACAAAGTTACCAAATGCTTGGACGTTGCGACCGGCATGCTGTTCGTTCACAGCCTCACCCACGATGGAGGGCACCATGCCTCCTTCATCCCTCATCCGCGAGGTCCTTCATCCCCGTCCAAGCACGACGATCCCGCCTCGATGGGCGGCTCAGAGTCGTCCAAGTAGTGCTCCAACATCTCCTGTCGATGGATCCGGCTCGGGGTTGGGGTGCTTTGCTTGGAGGAAGTCGGGGTGACCAGCTACTCCACTTGTGGTGGGGAGTAGATGGCACAAGGGCCATGGACCCCCATCTGTCTGGCGTAGACGGCGTAGACATTTGGGGCGAACCAGTGCCATCTAAGCTGGGAACCACTGCACTGGAAGGGTTTCACATCCAAGAACCCGAGTCTCTCGCTCGCTGCATCGCGAGAGGCAGCGAGGCGGAGGACGCGGATTCGCGGCGAGGCGTTCGCTCTTCGCTCGCAGAATGCCAGCGAGTCCACGCTCTCCCACGAAAAAGCTTCACCCACGCCCGGCCGGCCAAGTGGCCACTTCTTCAGAGGTGTGGTCCGAGCGCTGCGACCTCCGAGCCTCTGAGGTGGCCCACGTGGGACGAAGCAGCATCCCGCCGATCCGGAGCCGTCTGGAGCGCCCAACGACCACCAGGATGGCATGAGCCCAACGAGAACATGGATCCGCCCTGGTCTGGCACGCATCTCTCCGGCGATGAAGAGAAGACACATAGTGGCAGAATGCATCAGAATGCTGAGAAGCCAATAACCTCAAAAGGTTTGGAAGGTCAAGGAGCTTCAGGACGTGAGTCATGTCACATGACCAAAGCCGCTTCTTCAGGCTGAAGAAGGAGCGACGGGCGTTATAGGTTTCAACCGCCGCCGGAGCCCGGCTGAGCATCAAACACATCATTGATGGCCCTTGTTGCGAGGGTTGGGCCTAGGGGACCCCGTCGCAATGCTCAGCAGCGCAGCCTCTTTCCACAAAACTCCAGGACCTGTAAGGCAGGACAGCCAGCGCCTCCCTGTGCCCAGAAAGCTGCTGAAGCTTTGATCCCGACACATGCGAACGGAGTCCTGTCGAGTGGTGAGTGGTGAAGGGAGCCACCCATCACTTCAGGGCAGCGGATGACAACTCACAGTCGAAAAAAGAAGTGTCCTAAGACCATGATGGGTCTTTTCTGCGGGTCTTGATCTATATGATTGCCAATAGTTGCCAGTGAACATAGGAACGTTCAGCTAAGACCGCGTCTGCCATCGCCGTGGAACGCACGATCCCAATGCCTTTACTGCCTGCGAAAGAAGAGTGGGAGAGGAACCCCAGGTAGAAGAGGTGCCATCTGAGAAGGTCTCTGGAACTCCGTCTGCCAAGTTCATCTGCAAGGTTCGACACCAAGAACCCAGCCTCCCCAGCCTCCCAAAACAATAGTGTTGTAGTGTAAAGCCCTTAGTACCACAATTGTTGCTCGCTTAAAGGTATTAAATCAATGGTGGTTGGAATATGCGGGAATTTCTGGCACCTAAGGGATGGCTGTTGGATCCTGTGGATGGTAAGCACATGGTATCGGGGCTCGATCAAACACCCTGGCTGGGCAATGATGCTGTTGCAAACATCAAGTCTAAACTCTCAACCTTTCCCCCACATCTGCACCCCTCAACAGCATCAGATCTGCACCAACCACCTTCACCTCATCCCGAACCCCCGTGGTGCACCCCAAAACCACACTTCCAGAGGCCACACGGACCTCCGCGGCTCGCGCGGCTCGCTCCGCGAGCCTGGCTGAGGTCCATGGGCGCGCGCAGCGGGCGCCAGGTCGCGCCGGCGGCCGTGACCACGGCGCGGAAGGCCTCCGGGAGGAAGTAGGTCACCTCCGGTGACGGTCGAAGTGGGAGGTTTGCGGGATGGAGAAGTTGGGTGAAGAGGAGACAAAGTTGGAGAAGGTTTGGGGGGGGGGGATGCAGACGTTGGGTGAAGTGGCTGATGCTCTTACGTAAAGAAATAGACTTGCGGAGGTGCCCCAAACAAAGCATGGGCCAACAGCCGGGGTGGAACTGGGTGATTTTGGAGATCAGATTTGGGGCGGTCAGAAAGTGGAGGGGGGAACTGGGGCGCAAAAAAGGCAGGGCCCCCAGCAAAACTGGTGTTGCAAGGGTTTCTACAGCTAAAGACGGTCAGAGGTATAGTTCCGAATGTCCTCGATGTGCCTGGAGTTCCGAAAGATCCATTTTGGATGCGGCCGAGTGGAGGCCGAAAAAGACCAGGAGGGAAGTCTTCACAAACCCTAGGCCCTAGGCCCTTTCAGTCCCCTTTTCTTCCCTCAGAGTATTTGCACCCTTCCCACTTCCAGTCCCGAACCGAAGGTCGAACCCCCGGCGTCCGCCGCCGTCCCGCCGTTCCGCCGTCCCGCCGACCCGGCCTGGATGCGTCGCTCCGCCAGCTCGGCGACCAGCGGCAGGGTGGGGTTGATGTGTCCCGTGTCCGGAAAGTTGATGATCACCACCTGCCCGGTGGGCGGCGGGTGATGCGACGCTGCACCGCCGACTTTCGCAGCAAACCCTAGCGTCGCACCGGAGGACCTTAGCCGTCGCAGAAAGTGAGAGGAACGACGTGGAGAGTTGGCAACCACCGGGTGACCAGCGACCTGTGTTTCACCAACAAAAACCATGAAGAATAAAGGGTTTGCACATACGAACACCTTGGTTTTTGGCTCCGTGGTCCCTGGGATCCGCCGGGCGGCGCGCGCGACCATAGCGCATCAGGGTATATAGCGTGGTTGAGATGGCTTCAAAGTCGATAAGAGATGGAATTGCCAAAGGAGCTGTGGCTGGCAGAGGAGCTGGGATTTGCACTCCAACTTACTAACATTGCAAGTGGAAAACGAAAAACTACTTGTAAAGGAACATGGTCTTCCCAGTGGGCATTTTCCACTTCCGTGTTAGCAAGTTGGAGCATCAAGCCAACGTGGGGGAGTCAAAAAATCATTCAACATATTCAAACATCAAGATCGCTCCAACTAGTGGTTGAAAGTTTCACATTGCAGAAAAAGAAGGTTGGTTGAACCCACCCTCCCTCAAACATGGAAGTTAACCATTAGGCCCCGGAAGATCCTTCTCCTCTATTGGAGGCCTGTTTTGCTCGGCTTCCAGGAAGAACCCTGACAGAAAGTAGATGCAATTTAGGACATTGTGGACTTGTGGTTGGTTGATGGGTTGTTGATTCGGGCATTTATATGAAGGAGTCTGAAGGAGTCTCAAGCATGGTGCGAGCCTACTATGGCCGGGTGCACAGCTGGCGAACTTTGCTAATCTTCAATTAAATGTATATAGATTGTTCAAACCCCCAAGCCCCTAGCAGAATGATTGTGCATCTATCCACTGTCCTCCGGAAACTCGTTGACCACATGGCTGGGCTGAGACTACGTGGCTGGGCAACTGGCCTCGAATCCGGAGTTTACCTTAGAATTTGAAGAAGAACAGCTACAAGTATAATGGCCCCCCAGAAGGCTTTATGTTAGTGCCCCTCTACTAACTATATACAGTACCAACCCGATCCAACCCATAGGTTTTCAGGGCCCATCTTAGTCTTCAGTGGGGCAACTGCTCAGCGTCATCCCAGGCAGGCCACCTCGCCTGCCCCTGCATCGCGCCGCTGGACGCCTATCGCCCACCCTTCGTCCCGGTTCTTCTGCGACGCAGGCTTGAGCCGCCGGCCAACGGGTTCAGCAATCACTTGGAGGTCCACGGAACCTCCCTAACACCGTGCATTCCCCGAGCGGCTGGTGGGCTGGTACAGCTGAACCAAACCGCACTGAACGAAGATGAGGAACCCTGAACCCGCACCGTACCCAAACCAAAACCGTCCAAAAAAACAATAATATATTCCTTTTGGCTGTCCGTCCGTTCACGTCACCCAAAGCTGACCCAGAAAACCAGTTGTGGTGTCGATCATTGTGGAGTTTAAAAGAAATCATGGCCTGTCCTAGATCCAACACCCTCCATAAGGGGGGCCCCGAAAAGAGGCTAAGGGGACATTTACTGTAGTACACCAGGACCTTCCAATTCCAAGGTTGGAGGTTTTGGACACCCCGAATCAATCCGAGTCACCTCTTTCCAAGGCTAAGACCACCCTTGTAGGTGGTGCGAGTAGGTCCAACAATGTCCAACATGCTGGAGGAACCTTTGGATTTGTCACAGGAGTTTTCAGGAAGTTTGGGGGGCGGACCCGGGCATCGTTGTCGCGATGCGGTTCTTCTGTGCGTGGCAGGTCCTTCACGCGCATCCGAAATGGACTCTATAGACATGGACTCTTCGTTGACCACATGGAGGAGAAAACAAAAACACCTTGCGAATCTCTGAAAGCAAATCAACCCGCTGCCGTGTCCGTGTCGAAGAACACGAAGCCGAAGCTGAAGAGGTTGCAAAAATGGACATCGACCCTGAACCGCGGGTTGGAGGAACCCTCCTTCGGGTGACTTCACGGATTGTTGGACTCCGGATCCCGGAAACCACCTATAGAGACGTCCAGTTCGACGGTATGACTGACCAACCGACATGATGTAAAGGAAGTTCCTGAACTGGGGCCCCCTAGTCAGACCATTCTTTTGATACCAGGACCTTCCAAGGGGTGCCCTGTCTGGAAGCCCCTACACCACCACTAAGGGACCTCCATTGGACACCCCTTGGAGGTCCAACTAGTCTTTGGACTTTTGGGGGAAAGGTGTTCTTTTTGGGGATTTCGATTCCTGGCCCACCATGGATTTCGTGATCCCGATTGTCCCACCATGGATATCTTTCCACACCACCAGGTCCGCCAGGTCCACCAGGTGTCATGGGAAAAAAGATGGAAAACAGTTTATAGGGGGTCCATGGTAGCAGCACCACCCAGTTTGGGTGATGGGAAGGAACAAAGGCATGGCATCGGCGGGGCATTCAACATCTTCACCGCTTCCGTCGGGTCCACCGTATCGTCTGGCTGCCCGAGCCGCGGCACGCAGCGCGCAGCAGCGTTCGAGACAAAGCGTCGCGGTCTTTGGGCCAAAGCCGCGGGACACGGCCGCGTCGCGGGGAGAGGCCGTGCGTGGAGAGGCCGTGCGGGGAGAGGTCGTGAGAGATGACGGACGATGTTGCAGGTCGTTACAGTGAGAAATGGTGGATGGACCTTTTCCATCCCAACGTTCTTTTCGCGCCCCGGAAACCCTCCAATAAGCCCAGCCAATAAGCCGTCTAAGACGATTGTTGGTAAACGGTCTGCAAGTGATCCGATCAGGGATTTCCGCTGATGGGTGGTGCCAATCCCAGACACTCCATGTATGTCATATATGCCTACATTGACCCCTCAAAACCACCCCAATGTAGGCATATATGGCATACATGGAGTGTTTGGGAATAGTAGTCTTTGGACTTCCTAGGGCGCCCGACTCGATGGAACCGCTGGGTCAAACGACCTATACACCTGGACCCCACAAGGCTTGGGTGGTTAATAGACACCCCGAATCGCTATCAATAGACACCCCTGGTCCGGGTGTCCAGGTATACGATCATCTTTTGGTCTTGGAGCCGTTCAGATTGATGGTCGGTAGGTGCATCGAACACCATGGCATGCTCTTCGAAGCTCACCAACTCGCTCCATCCTCTGCACATGAACCAGCCAAGACTGCGCACACCGACGGCCTCACCACCGAAACTCGGTGGTAAGAACCAAACGAAGTTCGTCCCCGGCTCGTGCGTCCCCGCATGATCGAGAGAGGGTGTTCATCCAGAGGTCCAATACTGGGCGGCCCAAGCCAGCAAGAACCAGAACCTGCCTAACACCCCAAGAGAGGTTTAAGATGGTTTAAGTGATTTTATAGGATCGGTCACCTGAGGTACCTATGGGATAGTCTATGTAGGGTTCAGTTCTTCAACCTCCATTGGACATGTTCCAGCTGGGGTGATAGACCCTGACAATGTGATTTCCGTCCAAGAACCACCCGAACTGGGTCGCGCTGGGTAGACTATTAATACACCCAGGGATCCAAGTACCTTCTCAGGTGATCGGAGACACTGTTATGATCGGTTACGTAGGTGCTAGGAGGGTCCAGTCGTACCGTACCTGAGAAGCTACGAAAACGGATCCCTAACGGGACACTGTAAGCACCCTCATGCACCCATGCACCCCCCCTCATACTCCTCCAACGGCCCGACCCCCCCTCCCCTCGACCACCCCTCTGACAACCAACCCCAGGTGTTGAAGCTTTGGGGCCTACTTTTCAGGCCAGCCTGGTTGGAACCCTGTTCCCGGGTAGATTGCAGCTCCGCCCCTCTGCCCGAGGCCCCGCCATTCTTCTTTTTCCGACCGGTCCGCTCGTCCTATTCGCTGCGAGTGCATGCGCCTGCGGTGCAGTCGAAACACGACGGAGGCGGTTTGATCGCACGGCACCCCAAGGGAGGTCCTAGACCAATGGGGTCCCACCCGAACTTGGGGGGAGGTTGTGTCATCTACTTCCTCAACCCGACTACACTACAAATAGTCTTTACTTGTTGTACCAAGGATTTGGGACTACGAAATCCGCTCAACCTGTGAACCTCTTGTTGGCAGGCCAAGGACGAGCTCCAGCTTCTGCACTGAGGGGATGTAAGCCAAAATGACTTGGGCGGTGACCGATTTGCACACCAGAAGCACATGTCACTTCTCACTTCTCACCCCCATGTTTCGGTGGTGTTCCATGCCCCAACATGCCAGGACTTCTCGCTTCAGCCTTCCGGGAAGAGCAGTAACACACGCCCATCGTCGATCCCTGCTCGGGATCCGGGGAGCCCCTTGTTTGGGACCAGAATCCCTCGGGGGAGGAGGTCAAACCCGTTCAAGCATCCCACCCGCACGAGCCGCTTCTCCTTGCGTCCGCCTGTTTGGAGCGCAGCAGGTGAGCCGTTGCTCCCTGAATACTCCTGAAGGTCCCAAAAGGAGCCTGTTCAGCCCCTCCTCTGCTGGTGTCACTTGAGGAGGGCGTGAATGAAGCTGCTGTCCTGGGCCGTGCCGCTGGACCACCCACTGCGTCTTGGGTAGGGGGACCTCTCGCAAGGAGTTGTTGGGATATATTAGGATGAAGTTTGTGCACCCGGTTCTGAAGGTCAAAGATCTGTTTATATTGGAGTTATAAATCTCAGACTTGACACTCAAAAAACTCAATGAGGTGAAGGATTTTGTTTTGCTGAGTCTTTGGACCTGTGGAGGTTTTGTTGTCGTCAAGCAATATCCCAGAGAATCTCGAAAAATCTCTTGCGCTTCTCTGGGAGCATGCTCCTCTAAAGGCCTGCAACCGGTGTCTCTCTCTCTCTCTCTCGCACTTATTTGGAGTGTGGTATGGAAGGGCCATGCGTAGCCTGGATGGCACCGAAAAAGAAGAAGAAGTTCGGTCAACTGCCAAGTGTTCCACCATGTTCCACCTCCAAACTCGTCGACTCATCTAAGTCCATCACACCCGTCACCTCCAAGTCTTGTGAGACTTCCTTAAGCCCCAAAAGGTCCCTCAGAAGTCGCCTCGGGCCTCCAGCAAACCCCCCTCAGTCCCCCCAAGGGTTCTTAATCCCTCAGCAGTTCCCCTCCAAAACGGCCTCCACCCTCGGTGCCACCAAGCATCTCCTTGGTGCAAATATGCGAAGGGACAGCCGGAGGCTTCCACATGGCGCTGAGCGCTCGCCTGGCCGCTCGTCTCATGGAGCCCGGCGCCGGTGCTGGCGCTGCTGCCAGCGGCTTCGGTGCGCTGCATCCAGGAGACCCAGGACCAGGGCAAGAAGGGCAAGTAGGTCTTCAAGTTCTCCACGATCTCACTGCCTCACCATTGCAGTCGATGAGGATTATGAATGGGAATTAAACGGTGATGCCAAGCCGGGGCCCATCTCAGGGAGTGCCCTTTGGAGCATGCCTCAAGCGCCGCACTTCAGCGCTGGGAATGCATGAAAAGGGGCAACGAAACCAGTGAGACGCAATAAAACACTCCGTATATGGAGTATACTTAGACAAGTCGTTTATTTATTGTATGTTTTATATGACCTCTGCAACCACCCTGGCCGTTCAAGTACGCCAGTCCCATGGAGAGTCTGGGATCAAACCGAGCGCGTTTTCCAAGCGAACCGTCACCGCCTTCGGCTGTATCGTAGACGCCCAGTGACGCTCTAAAGCTGCTGACGTGTGACGAATGTTCCTGGTCTTATATATAACTTATATATAGTATTATTTAAACTTGTCAAAGTCCCACTCTCCTGCATGGGATCCAAATGCGTTTTTTTTCACTCTTCCCTTCCAAACTCTGTTCTGTTTGGGCAGCCAGGCATCAGCGGCACAGCACCCATCCCACCCCCGCCTGAAGAGGGGTTGTAGCCACCGACCCAGGCGTTTTGGTTTCCAACCTCCTTCTGCTCGGAAGGATCGATGCTGCTGTAGAAGTTGTTGGCCCCTTCCTCATACCAGAACCTGAGAAAGGCCACGAGCTGCCGCTTCTACTGCGTTGGGCCCACGAGCTCGCCCACGCCACGAATGCCCAAGTGACCCCCGAATGCCCCAAGAGATGGTCGGTTCTTTCCCCAGCATCCACCCAGTTAGGACATGTTAGGATCGTTTAATAGGTTCACTTCCCACTCTCGAACGAGTCGTTCGTGGAGGGTTGTTGGGACGGACCCCTCACCGGTCGAAGCCTAGGGTCCCGGTGACGTGAGGGTCCTCAAAAGGCCCCGATCCACCGCTCTCCTCCAGTCCGCCGAGTCACTCTTCAGCATCCACCCAGTCCTTCCACGCAGGCATCCACTCCAAATCCTCTTCGAACCAGTCGTGGCGGAAGAAGAGCTTCCTCACCCCGGCCGGGTGACGCGGCGATCGGTCGTCATGTGGGGCGATCGGTCGTCAAGTCGGTGTGCGGATGGAAAGACTGGCAGGTCGATGGCGGAAGGCGTTGGTGATGACAGGCCAGTTGTAATGAGGGCGTCATTGATTTATAGGCATATATAGGATATAAGAAGCATTTATACGGTCCTAAGGGAATCCTTAGATGATAGATCCTTCCAATTATATGTCATTTGGTTGTTGTAGGCCATGAAAAGATCCTAAGATGAGAGGCCAACGTCTTAAGGTCGGCATAGGTGCTTTGGTCGGCAGGCGTTGATGGTGGCTGGGTTCCAAGCCCTTGAGCAGCACGGTCTACTGAACATGACACGTTGATTTGGATGGATTTGAAGCACCCTTCACAGACTCAGGAGTTGCAAAAGGCATCGTTTGCCCAACTGACTTCCCCTTCCAGACCTCAAGCCTGCTCCACTTCCGAGGCAGATATGTCCACAGGCTCTCGAAAAAACTGAACAATAGTATTCAACCATCCTAATCCCCAAGTACCGTACCTGAGGAGGTGATTGGAGACACTGTGGATGTATCATTTTATAAGTCTTAATCTGGTAGTTTGCATAACTAAGGGCTGAAGTCTGTATTTAAGAAAGGGGCCTGTGATGTATCGTTTTTCAAACAGGCAACTTCGAGGAGACGTAGAGTGATAAAAAAATAAACAATTTCCAGCCTTTCACACCAAATGGGGCAACGTGTTTTTTCTTGCTCAACTACCCGAAGGCACAAGCGGGGCCTGGAACCACGGAACGGCTGATGTTTTCTTAAGTATAATTCATGATTTGCAAAGGGAAGGTCGTTCTGCACATCATGAACATGATATGAGGGACCGGGGTCCTACTACCCCTTCTGTTGCTGAAGGCCAGTCTGGGTAGCGATTGTGAATTTGAGTGAGCCCGACTCTATTTGCTTAAACGCTTGGTTGATTCCTCAATCGCAGGTTTGATTCCTTAACAGAAACCAGCGCTGTGAGCATGTGTATTTTCAGCGTTACTTAAAAGCGGATTCTGGGCAGGGGCAGTCAGAATATCCGCGACGTTTGAAGTTTGCAGAATTGTAACTTACATCTCAATTTCGATGGTTGTTGCAAGGATTCACCCATTCATGGTTGAATTTGACCTTTAAAAGAACTTAATCACAGGGTTTCCACCCTGTGATTTGGGACTTTCGTGATCAAGAGCACAACTGCCTCAAAGGGTCACTGGCTGGCATTGTGGCATTGTGCAATTCCGGTACAAAAAAGAAGCCTCCAAAACCACCCGTTTCTTAAGCACAGGGTCACGAATAAAGCACGGGGACTTATGCAAATTGACATCTTAATTCATCCAAAATCTAAACCATCCTACCTCACTATCCAAACTCACCATCCACCGTAAAAACTATATAGTTGCCTTCAAGCACAGTGGCTGATCGCCGAACTTGGTCTTGTGGAACTCCTGGACTTGCTTCGTTCGGCGGTGAAACCCCGCAACAGCTTGGAGGACCGCGGGGTCTGGGTCGGGCATGTCAGACTGGGCCGAGGAAAGGCCCAGTCCGATGTGTTTTGCTATGTTAAAATGACTACGATATGAGCGAGCTCCAAAAACCTACTGATATGGGCACAAAAGTGGAACTGCTGACTCGTCCAATTGGCTCATCAAAATCCGACTCACCAATACACTCTTTGGGAAGATCTCTGAAGATCTGTTTTCACCCGGAGTTCTGCTGGCCTTACTTCCAAGATCCGATATCCACCCAGGAGTTCCAAAGGAGCTCTTGTAGTGGAGAAACCTGGGCACTACAAAGACATCCGATTGAAAGCCCCAATTTTACGGAACTCGGGAGTCCTGGGTGGGAGCCCGGGAGATGTCCAGCCCGTTGGGTGGCCCTGTTTCAGGCTCCACAACCCCCAAAGAGCCGTCCTCCCCAAAACCCCGCCCCCCCCCCCGCAGCTCCGACACGAGGCTCACGTGGCCCACGGGCTTCAGCTGCGTGCGGGGACCGGTGCCCACGTAGATCTCGTAGATCTTCTTCCCCGCGGAGAGGTGCTGCAACTGCTCCTGGGCGGTGCGCGGAGATCGCGCGCGGTGCGACGTGCCGTGGCGTCCGCGTCGCGGAGGTCAGAAAGATCGAGGAAGCGAGAGGAGGAAGCGAGGGCACTGTGAGCGTGACGCGTGGGGGAGGGCACTGGGAACTTGGAGTAGCTGAAGATGCTGAAGTGGCCCAGGACTGGGGGAATGGGAGAGATGTGGTGGGGGGATGAGGGGTGGGAGGGACAAAGGATAGTTTGAAACAACCGTCCTGGCCAAGAAGGGTGCAAAAACATGCGAAGAGTTCAATCTGGGACACCCAAAACGCGGAAGATTCACATTGGAACCTGACCCATGTTGAACGGTTCATGCCATCAGGTTCGGTCTCTTCCCTGGTGAAATCAAATGGTGTCCATGGTTTCCACGATGGTTTCTCTCCACCCGTCTTGGGGATGGCGAGCCTGGATTCGTCATCTCCAGGACATCTCCGGACCCTCATCCAGCTCGGAAAAACCCACTGCTCTGCCCGGAACCTCACATGGTGGTTACGTGGATGGCATTGGCCCCGGAAGGAAGACCCTTTTTTCTCTACAAAGCGGGGCATCAAAGAAGAGGGATGACCCCAAGTTTGGGTGGCCGGGAGAGCACCACAGTTCCACCACGTGCTCGGGCCCTCCTGGATGTGCTCAAAGGGCTCATCCTTAAAGCGCTCGAAATAGGCTCTCACATGGTCCATGGGCCTGCTGTGCGGTGGGACTTGATGGACGCTTGGACGCTTCCACGAGGAGAGTGCTTGGACGCGTTTTGCAGGCGGCGTGCTGAGACGCGCGCCAAAGCAGCTCGAGGTGAGCGTCTGGTTCGACCGAAAACCCAAAGAAAGAGCGATGGATTGAGAGGCTCAATGGCACGTACAGGGCCTCCAAGTTCTGTGCTTTATACCTCTGGGAGAAGCAGTGCCATCGAACCTCTGAATGTAAAGCAACTATTTTTGGAAGTTCCTATGTCTGAGGTGCTGGATTCGTGTCCACGCACGTGATCTGGCGCCGGGGATCGGAAAAGGAGAAATCTCCTTGATCTGGTGCCACTCGGTACGTCGATCTAGTGCCCCCCCTGTTTGGAGCGTCAAATGCAGTAGCATTAAGAGGTGTCCAGTCACCACCCTCAGAGTGCGGGTCCTGGTTTGGAAGGAATTTGTGAGGGAGCCCTGCTGAGATTGGCGTCATGCGAGTCGGCACCGTGTCATCACCCAAAAACTATCCAATTACCTTCTGAGAAGGTAAGTGGATCCATAGGGAAAATGATTGATCAGCCGTTCACTTCCACAACCCGCGCCTGAAGCAAATCACGAAGGGAAACTTGGGCGAGGTATGATCTTGCTCCGCCCACTGGCTCAAGCCCGTGGTGAAGGGGTACGCGGAGGCCTTCCTTACAGCGCGGAGCGGAGCGCACATTGGCGCCGATTCATCCGAGGGGCTTTGAAGAGGCCATCGGCCCTCCTGCTTGTTGGGCATCGGAGGGGTTCTTGGGGGATTTCAGCCATGTCAGTTCTTCCCGAAACTCGTTTCAGCGGTGGTATCTACGTCCTTTGGTGAGTTCTTTCAGGTCTGTTGTCCAATGATTCCACACGTATTGGGTAAATTTTTGAAAAAGATCAATGCTAACCCAGGCTTCTTGAAGGATTTCAGCAGCAAGTTCTCTGCAAAGCTCTTGTCCCTGAAGTCCGAGAGCTTGTTGCAAAGAGTGTGTTCCTTGGCTTGGATGGAGGAGGCTAAGCAAGGCCTGAACTGGTCTTCGGGGCCGCTCAATTCTGGTGGTATGCGCGCTATCTGGCCTCCATGGACTAGACTAGATGGCAATAGGGTCATGCAGCCTGGGAACCCAAGCCCATGTGGCTGTCGAGAATCCATTGATGAGCCAGCCAGGGAAACACGAAGTGACCCCAACAAACTAGACTCTAGGCTTCAGCCATTGATTTGATGGTTCTTACTGAACAGCCATTGCTTTACTAAGAATGTTTGGACTACAAACCCCGGAAACCAGGCCAACCATGGTTGAAATGCTCTTGGAAGGCTACTGTATATACAGTAGCTAGAATCCAGAAGGCCCAACAGCTCAACTGATCGTCGACTCCTTGAAGCAGCAAGTGGACAGTCCGGCTCCTTGGACGCCCCATGTTCCGAAGACCCAAAGCATGCGCCATCCACGGTTCCCAGTAAATCTGTGGCTGTTCAAGTCGAACTCACCGGAACCAGTTCGTGCTTTTGGACGAAGTCCACCAAGAGAGGTTTTGAGTGATCGCAAATAGGCACCTCGTTGGGTACCGAACTGGGATAGTCTATCTATAGGCAAGCTCTCGGGTTCTTCAACCTCTCCTCCCACCTCAACACGTCTGGCGCAAGCAAGGCTCAAAGTGGCTGAAGCCATCCTGACCTGGCGAACCAACACCGTCAAGACCTGCTAAGGCCCAGCAACCAATGAGACAACCAGAGGAGTCGGGTGCGGAGACCAGGATCCTTTGGTCGCAGGGTCTGTCGGTCCGTCTCTCCGAGCTTCCGCCACTGCTCGTCTCCATTTCGGCCATTTCAGAGTGCTGGTATGAAGAGCTTGGGGAGGGGGGTTGATCAATCCAGAGTCTACCTGGACCCTCCGACCTTCGGGGTGTCCTGGCTGGACTACTCCACACTACCGCACTAGGCTTCCAGACAGGGCACCCCGAAGGTCGGGTCCAGGTACCTGTACTCCGCTTGGGGCGGTCTCTTCCCATCACCCCCACGGGTCCCCTGCACCCGCCTCGCAAGGAGTAGAGCATCAGCGTGTTCACACCTCCGTTTCGCATATGTGATGATGAGGGGCTTGGGATGGGTTCGGGGGCGTTCGCAAGGAGGATGGAGAGGCGTTACCGACTAGAGCACGTCTCTTCATCTGGCGTGTGCGACCTGACGATATGGTGAAGATCCTTGAAGCTGTGCAGTCGCGCGGGCTCAATGTCTACCAGCACCCGAATCTACAGGTCTCCGAACTGGTGGCTGAAATGGAGACGACTTGTACACCTGCCACAGGTGGTGACCTGCAGTCGGATGGAAGGCACCCTGCAGGGCCATGTCCGAGTCGTCCCTTCCGACCTGTCAACATGGGAACGACCTGTCGTACCCCGTGGTGCCCCCAGTCCTCCGTCCTCCGTCCGCGAAGCGGTCCTTGTGGTTCGTTCGACCGCCGTGGCTCGTGTGGCTCATGTGATGTTCTTCGATGTTGGATGGCAGGCCATCCGGAGAGCCCTGAGGCGGGAAAAAGAAAGACACCGCAACTTTCTTCAACAGGAGCCAGCTCCGGGTCACCTCCTCAGCCAGAACCCTCTCCGCCGTTTTCAGACACTTTCCGTCCAGCACCAGCATAGACCAAGACACTTTCCTTGAAGTCGCGGAAGACCTTCACCGAAACTCCAGGCGCCATGCCCGTCTTCTTCAAGGCACCCGCAGGGCCAATGCCTGAGGCAAGCCGGAGAGGAGGGGGAAACCCAGGAGTCTTAACCCCAAAACGCTCCAAGAGAGGTTACACTCCCGAGTCAACTCACAGCTCGACCCTGACGTCCTGGCGCCCTGGAAGATGGTTTTCCTCTACCAACCAGTGGTTTTCAGGCTCCATGGGATCGTCTTCCAGGATGTAAGTGATCGTAAATAGGGACCTTACTGGGGTACCTGTGGGATAGCCTATAGGGTACTATAGGGTTCTTCAACCTCTGTTGACTCCATCTGCCAGCACCTTAGCCTCCTTGAGGTGTCTGTAAATAGCCTCGTCAAGAGCCCTTGAGGTTTTCGGGAATATGAGCCACCTCTCACGGTACAAAGGCGCCTGTTCCTCGACGTCCATACCTGAACCCTTCTCTTCCAACTCATGTTATTGCGCCTGTTCATCCACTGGCTGAACAGCCCAAAAAAGGCAGCAAAAAGGCAGCAATAGTTGCAAGATCCAGGTATGCCGTTCACTCCCCCTTGGATCCCCTTGGCAGACAGTTGAACCATGTTTAACCATGTTGAACCCCATAGGGTAGGACTGTTCTCATCTACCACCCACATAGGTCCATGAGAATCCGCCAGGAGAGTCACCCACCCACTCACCCACCCACCGTTTTGGTGGTCTGCAGTGTCGACATCCTGCCAGGTGGCGGATCAAGGCTTGCTCCTGGTCCTTCGCGAAGACCCCTGGCCCACAGAACGCCCGGGGTCTTCGCAGAACGCCGGGGGCGACCGGGGCCCTCAGGCCCTGCAGGTTGAAGCAGAACTACGGGGCGTGTCCCAGACACTCCCAGGCCAGGGGGCTGTTGGAAAAGGACTCTATCTGGGGCATATCTTCCAGTCCCAGACAGGTCGTGACGGGGTGCAACTGCGCGAGGCCGCCCGGTCCCAATTCTCAGCTGCTTGCACCCACACCGTGCCCTTCCGAAAGGCTCGAAGACCCAAACCAATCGCCGTTAGCTCAGCTGACCACCAATAAACAAAATAAAGAAATGAAGACCCACCAACCGAACCAAAGACCGAAACACTCACAAAACACCAAAAACACCGCCAAGGAAACCCTGTTCCTCCCCTGTCCAAAACACCCACCCGTCCCTCTCTCTCGTGGAAAACCGGCTCTTCAGATCATGCGGGGTGGGCGCCTGTGAAGCCGAGGCTGCTCATCATCGCGTGGTCCCACTCCAAATGGATCTTCGCCACCGAACCCACCTGTTGAAGCCGAAGTCTTCGGCCAAAGCGCAGGGAAGAGACGAACCGAGACCGAGACCGAGACGCCGCTCGCCCTTGGTGGAGACGAGCGGGTTCCACCTTCCAAAGGTGACCTCTGTGGATCCTCTCAAGACCGCCACTTTGAAGGTCCTGGATTGGTTGGTTTTTTTGTTAAATGCCGTAAAGGCCCTATAGGATTCGAACCACCATGCATTTGTCCATGCATTCAAATGCATGGTTTCTTTAAAACAAAAACCGATTAAACTTGTATAAATAATTGCTATATATCGATTCCTTCATCAAACAAGAGCTTCCAACAAGGGAGACGCTTCCCGAACCCCGCACCACACACGACCGGGTCTCACCGCTTCTCTGCGCCAGGCGGCCGGGTGGATCAGCTTCTGGTGACCGGGGGGCAACGGCTGATCTTTGCGCCACGAGAAGGTGCTCCTCAAGTCCTCCGTCACGTTGGCCCAGCGAATCACCCGTCCAATCAGCGGCAGGTCCTCGCGACAAACGGACGAACACGACCGCGGCCGCGGGACGTGGAGGCGTGGCCGGCGTGGCGTCTGGACGTGGGTGGACGGGACGGGTGACAGAAGGGGTGGTGCCGGGACGGAAGAGGCCAAAGATTGGAACAAATGCCCAGTTCCAATCATGGGATGACTCGAGAATTTGTCCATAATGTCATAAAATGGAAAAGGGTAAATATACTATGCAAATATCATAAAATTGAAAAGGATTACCTAAATCTCCTAAGTCGTGCAGAGGCCCCTGGGTCCAAATCCATGTCACACATGTCACACAACCAAATTAAGCCACCAATTACACTAAATGATATCATTACCACGGCCGGGGTGGTTGATGGACACCCCGAATTCATTTGGGGCTATTGGTACAACACCCCAAAAATCCCCCCAAACCCTGGCAATGAAAAATTTGGTTTGTGCCATGAAGCTCCTTCCAAAGCCCCGCAAAGCACCGCGAAACCAACCCGCCCGAAACCAACCCGCACACCAGGAAACGCTGCCGTGTCCGAAAGCCACCACCCCACGGCGGCTTTAGGGGGGTCTCAGCCCAAACCATGACAAAGGCGCTATCTTGGCGAAGAACCAAGAGAAGTTGAGAAACCTGAACTGAGACCCAAAAGCAGCACCCGACTCTCTAGGTCTCTTCTAGAGGCTTTAGACTCAAAATGGCTCAAACGTGGCAGGTGGCGACCGACCTTTTTGACTCAGGTGCTGCGTGCCGCGGCACGTCTGCCACCAGAGCGAACAAGCCCGCGCCGCACGCCCGGTCCGACCAGCGGCTGTCGCCCCTCCGTCCTCGGCGGCGGACATCAAGCGCAGCGGCCCCAGCGCCGAAGGCATCGGAGCGGCTTCGCCCTCGTCGGCCTCCACCTCGCCTGGTCCGCGCGGAGAGTCCCACCACGAGGATCAGAACCCGGGCCGCGGAAGAATAACCCTGCGAGGAAGGACATGACTGGCATTAAAGACATGGCGGTCAAAGCAGAAAACTATATTCCTCACTCTTTCGTGTTTCGTTTTTCTCTGCCCGAATTCCAGGTGAGGATCGGGTAAGGAAGGAAAGACCCAGGATGAGTTGTTTTCAGAGGCCGCACCCCAAACTGTGAGGCCGCATGGCAACGCTCATGGCAACTCAGCTGATCGGTTTCAACGAGGTGTCCAACCCAACTGCCTCGCGCAGAAGAACAGCTGCACCGTCTTGTTGGAGGAAGACGGAAGGAAGGAACCGGACAAACATGTGTAAAAACATGTTGGAAACGATTCCCCCAACGATTCCCCCTCAGGTTTGGCAAGAAATTCACTTAAATCAACTTCACCACCTCCAAGATCTGCCGGCAAAAAAACGATATTGGTCCAGTCCGATCGCCGATCCAAGTCACTCCAAATCTCCGCCAGCTGCTCCTGTCGTTCGGAACGGGAGCGGTGAAGATGGAAAAGAGGCGAAAGGGTGATCAAAGGTCAGGAACTACAGTATTCCTTTAAGGAGTCCATCATGGACCACTCGAAAATTGATATCAGAAGGAACAATAGAGAGAGAGAGAGAGAGAAAAAAGAAAAAATCTGAACCCAAAACAAGCTTTGCCACACACTTTCTTTGGATAGTTCCAGTATAAAAATCTGACCTTCTTTGGTGGTTTGTGATGATAGATGGGGGTCTGAGTTCAGCCTCCCACGTATCGTCAGCACCACCAAACTCGCCCGACTCATGTGAGTCTCGAACCCGAAAGAGGAAGCCCTGGTGTGACATGGCTCTGGGCGGAATTTGGAACCAACCTGGGTGAGTCGTCTCAAACTGAAAAGTTGATGAAACAAGAGAAAGACCGTGCTACTAGAGCAAGGCCTCCTAGTTTCGAGACCAACCCAAGTCTTTGCTCAACCTACATACCCAATCCCATTCTGTAAAGGAAAGAAACTACTCCCCCAAACAGAGGTCACAGGAAAACAAAGTAAGCAAGTAGGTTTAACAAAGCCCAACCAAGCAACGTGGTAAAGACTCGACCTTTCTTGGGATCTGTCGGGTATGTTTTCAACGGTTTATAGCTCGAACCTCGCCGAACAACCATTGTTGCACCAAGGAATATACACCAACAAAACCAAACCAACTGCACAGGATTTTGCTACACAACCTTTCCGTTTAAAGGACTTTAAGAATGGTCTTGGACCTCCAGGGCTTTCTCGGCGAGCAGAAGCTCGGCTCCTTGGCAGACTTCGTGCGAGCAGAAGCCACTTCTCCCAGACTCTCTTTCTGCTGGGTCGAGCGCATGGCGAGCACCGTCACCAGCAGCGAAGACAGCAAAGCCACCTAATAACAATGGTTGACAAAAAATGGAACCTCTACCTGAGATTGTAAGGCGCTCAACACCAGCAGGAATGATTGCAGAAGAATGACGGTGATTCTGCTAAGACGCCTAGGGTGTTTACTCACGGGCTAGCAGTCAAACACAGAATTACATGTGCAATGCGTTCTCCACACCAGCAAAACATGTCCAACAAGGTTCTTGGGTAATTACTGTGCTGTGCGGCACCGTTCTGGGTGATACTACTGGGGGGACCGCTTGGGGCCCACAGTGTCACAGTGTGCCTTCCACCAAGATCCACAAAGATCCAAAACCGCCGCCTTCCACGTAGTGCCACACGTGGCTTGGGGAAGACTTGGTTTCCTTTTACAGTAGCGAGCACGGGACTCCATGGTCTGTTCGGGGGGAATGTCATGCACCACTTCCATCCTTCTTGCAACTTATACTGTATATAGATAGGAGAGTAAATCCATCCTGGATCTACATTCCAATCCTGCCGATTACTAAAAATATATATTGAAATTGGACACCCTGCCGCTCTCCATTTGGGGACTACGATATGCATACCACTTCCATCCTTTCGTCCCCTCGAGCACGAAAGCTGCCAGAGGACAAACGGAGCCATGGCAGACAAATCGGTTTTGGCAAACACCCGGAGGCCGTGGCCACGGCGAAGTTGGGCACTGAGGCTGCGGAGACATGTGCGACCATGTGCGCACACGAAAGAAAAGAAAGCATCTGTAGTGCGCTGCTTCCTCAAATCAATATCACATTTAGTTTGAAATACCCACGCTCCAACATAATGTCGACTCTTGATTGAGAAGCCAAAAGTGAGAAGAGGCTTTTCAATTCCAATGGGAGGGTTTGTGAATCAAGAGTCTACTAGTACAAGAAGCACTGACGGCAATAGTGTGCTGTCAGTGTGCTCCTAAAACAGATTTGCCCAGAAACGACCGCCCTTGCGCAATCCGTCCAACGCCTCGCAGACCTGTCTGGCTTCAACCGAAAAACCACAGGGAGCCAGGCATCAGCCCGGTTCACTCGCGAGGCGTCATCATGTTCAGACAAGCACAACAACAAATCCAAGGGATTTTTCCATGTGACTTCTTCCAAAGGGTCTTTGGGTCTCCGTATTGGAATACACACTCACATCACTTTAACATTAAATCCTCCCCAGAACCCCCACGTGATAAAACACAACAAAGGGGGGAATGAAGAGAATGAAACATTGAACATCAACATAAAATCATAACAAGCAGTGCTGGAACGTCTCCATTACCAGAAGCGCCCGGATTCTGATGGCAGAGTGAAATGCATTTGGTCCATACGGGATTCATACAGTTCACAACACAAAGAAAGCAGGTTGGATGCGCCCTTCCGCGTTTTGGCCAGCGGCGCGCAAAAGGACGCTCCTGACTCGATACGTGTGGACCAGCGGGACATGGGGACGGAGCGCACGGGTGGCGGGTGGCGCTCCGCCCCGTGTCTCCTCACTTGAGAAGGGCGTGGACCAGACGGTTGTCCTTGGAGCGGTTGATTCGAGCCCCCCCGGCAACTAAAAGGTCTATATATCCGCCGACCCCGTGGTGCAGCAAGGAGGAGCGCGTCCCGAAATGGTATGTTCATGATTGGAGATCTGAAGGCAAACTTCGATTGCTTTGTTGTCAGCAGATATATATACACATACCTAGAACCCATTTGACCTCTGTTTTGATAGGAAAAGACCCTATTTTGGGTGGTCGGTGCTCCACTCAAATTCTAGGTATATTATATATACTAATACACTAGAGATGTGCTTTGCTGATCAGTTGTAACAGGGACCTGGGCATGAGAGAAAGGTTCGACTCTGAGTGTATGTTCCAAGGGTGCTTCCTTTGAACCCTGCAACAGGTTCCGCGAAGCAAAAAGGATCCATTGTATTTTCAGGGAGGTTGCTCAGCAATGCTCGGCACATGGTTCACCTTCGGAGCACAATACTCAGTGGAAAGGAGTGATTTCTTTGTCCAACTCTATGCGTTCGTTGGTATCTCATCCTAGAACCTGATTGACCCCTGGAACTGGGAGCCCAAAAAATATGTGTTTTTCATATCAAAACAGATGGTCATGTCCGGTCTCTAGGATTGCGAAACATACTCCCGGCAAACATCGAAGATGTGCACGCACGCACTCACTCACCTGCCCCTACCGCGGACTCTCCGTACGGATGGCCGCCGACTGGGGGCGCTGGGATTAGGTCGTCGCGTGCGACAGAGTGTGAGAGGAGCCCGTTTGACACGGCGGCCTGGTCTGTCGATTGCTGCATTGGTACATGCCCAGACTTGATGCCCCACTTATACACGGGGCATGGCGAATGACATGGCCATCTCACGGACATGCCAAACACACCAGCGGTCAACCGTGCGGTGGGACTTGGAACGAAAAAGGCCGCCGATCGTAGGCCCTGGATCCCGGCTTTTGGGTTCCACTGGGCGTCCCGGGCACGGAAATGGAAACCCGTGACACCTTGGACACCTTCACACAGTTGACCCATCACGGGTCTTGCGACACGGGTCCGTTCGCACTTCAGAACAGCCCAAACGGAGCCGCTTCCCCGAGCCGCTTCCATCGCCCCATGACTTCCGCCCAGGCACTCCTTGATGGAGGTATGCAAAGGGACATCCCGACACGACCTGGTGAGTCTCTTGCAGAAGCGAGCTCTCATCAGCCGGGAAGATCCAGGACCAGGGCAGGAAGGGCAAGTAGGCCTCGACTCGCACTCCCCCGCCCCGCACCCGGTCGCCCGCCGCCCGCCCACGCGTGCGCCGCAGGCGGACGGCCCTGACGGTCGTTGGTTTGGAAGAGTCCCGACCCGGAAGGGATTTGGAAGGGATCTGGAGGGTCCAGACTGTCAGACCCCCGAAAAGGTCAGTCCAAAGGGTTCTGGTCAGATCTGGCAGACGGGTTTCCACACAGTGATACGGACAAAATGCACGGAAACGAGCATGGAGAGGGAACAGGAGGGCCGGACCCTGCGAGTTAGGACCCTGCGAAAGACCCTGGTGCTCATGGGCTTCCACTGCTTGTTGATGGGCTTCCACTATACTTCTGACTCTCTCGGTTTCCCACGGAGAATACGGGTTAACCCATGTTCACCCTATCTTACCTGTTCTTATTGAGTGCGATGAGGTCATCTTAGGGGACGGCCTGATGATTGATCAATCAGAGCTGGACATGGCCAAACTCGAAGCGTTGCCATGGCCAAACTCCAGCCTCCACCTTCGCGGTTCTCCCCGCCCTTTCGGTGGCGACGAGTCAGACGGCGCCTTCAGATTCTTGACCAGCTCATTGCCTCTTCGGAGCGGGAAGAGCTTTGGAGAAAACGACCTGCCACCCCAAACAAGGTCGGACCTTGATGTCTTGATGTTCCCGGGATGTTCCCTGAAAAGCCACTCGAATCAATGATCTAGCACATGCACAAATCATATGTGCTTCATGGTACCCTCCCTGAAATCATCATGGTGGACCGTGGAAACCATCTGTTTGGTCTTCGGAAGCATGGCCGGCCATCCACGTTGGCCCGGAACCATTGGATTCCAGGCACTCTGCCACGGTGTTCGAGGGGGGAGGCACTGAGGGATCTCGGGAGGTCCGGAGATCAGCTCACCATCTGGCTGAGTCTGCGCCTGAAAGACATGATGGGTTAGCCTGGAAGATCGGTTCACCGAACCCTTCCACCTGGTGGGGTGTCCTGCATGGACTGCAGGTTCGTCCAGTCCTCCAAGCCATCTTTCAGAGGGTAAGAATGGGTCACTTGAAGCCTTCAACATCCGCAACAGCCCACCTTCACCTCTCACTCACTCCCTTTTGGACCGTCTTCGGCGAAGAAACCCACCCCGCCGCTGCCTGAGGAAGGATTGTAGCCACCAATCCAGGCGTTTTGAGATCCAATCTCCTTCTGGTGCGAGGGATCAATGCTGCTGTAGAAGTTGTTGGCCCCTTCCTCATACCAGAACCTGAGGAGGTCGCCAGGCACGCTGGGACTCACCGAGCTGGCAAAGGAAAACACGACCAGCACCACCCAACAAGTGGCTGGTCCCAGTTTCGGAAGACCCAGTGGTCCATGTGGTCCTCTGGAAGGGGGGCACCAGCATCCAACCACAGGTCACCACCTGCCTCTTTGAAGTCTCCATTTTGGAGACCTGTTTCGAGTCGGGTGCTGGGTATAGACCCCTCTGAGTCTGGGCTGGACCGCTTTCCATCCAATCAATCGCCAATAGGGCCTTTGGGAGGCTGGTATATGGTGTCTATGCCTTCTTTGATTCAAGGTGATTCCTGTAAAGGTGACTCGGTGATCCGTCAACCTCATTTGGAGGGCTTGGCGGTCCGAGGCGAAGGTGCGTGTGAGGCGAGAGAGAAACGATCTCAAACTTGGTGGGAGAGAATCCGTGGTTTTTCAACGGAATCATCCAACATCTTTGTACCATGTGTCCCGTTCGGAGAAACTCATTCGGCTTGTTCAGAACAAAAAGCAATGGAACTCCCCCCACTTGAAAACAGTTCAATTTACTCCCTTGCCCCACCATTCCGTAGAGAGTGTAAGCCCGGGATTCCAACAACCGATGTCTAAAAAGCGTCATTGCTGAACAACCAGTTGTTCAATTTAAACAAGACATAGAAAACAAAACCAGCTCAACCGCTTGAAAAATCGTGGACTCAGCTCCACCAAGTCGCTCCTCAGCATCCACCCAATCCTTCCAGTCCGGCATGAGTTTCAGATCCTCCTCAAACCAGTCATGGCGGAAGAAGAGATGCTCATCTCCGAATTTGCTTGGGAGAAACCTCGCCACCAGCCCGGGACCAGCCGGACACCGAGCGGCCGGACCGAGGACTCTGGACGTGAACGGGTTCGGGGTTTGGAGGCAATCGGACGGTGAAAGGAATCGATCGGAGACGGTTTGCCCTGTCTGAAAAGGAATACACCCTCCCTCCAACAAACATGGTTTACGTGGTTGCCATGGCCGAAAGAAAAGAAGACGGTTTTTCCTCTGGCAACCCAGTGGTTTTCCACTTCCATGATTGTTTCAGCGAGGGTAGAATTGTTGGCAGTTGGAAGATCCAGGGTTGAAGCCCGTGCTTACGTGCACGGAGTCCCCGCACAAGAAGGCCGAAGCCCGAAAGTCCTTCCGACCATGTCCAAAATGGTTGATCTAGGCTGATCTGGCATTTTGTACCAGCACCGAACCCAACCAACAGGTCTCCGAAATGGAGGGTTGGGAAAGGCCTTAACAGCTTTCAATTGGTGACCCTGTGAAGTCGGTGCTGGTGTACGAAAAACATTGTTCGACCCGGGTGTTTGACATACAATGGCGGGCCACGACTTCTAGGGCTTCCAGCCTCCCGTTCCATGACCGGAAAGCGCGTCTTCTTCGGCTACGACTGCGCCTTCTTGCGCGTCCAAGCCACTTGGAGACCATGACCACCTTCCCCACCTTCTTCAACTCCGTGCGCGGCCCGGTCCCGACCTCCAAAGCACCGCGGCGCTTCTCCGCGGTTCGTCGGTCGCGTTAGGTGGCCCGCGGAGTCCGCGGAGGCGTGGCGCGGGCGTGGGCCGCCCTCGTTTTCGGGCACGGAGAGCGGAGAGCATCTGAAAAGGCCCATGGAATAGCGTGGGTGTCGAATGAAGCTGTTCAAAACAAATGAGTCCACCCAAAGAGTTTTATATAGGTCATGCTTGAGGGTCCGTGCTTGTTCTTGCACATCGCGAACTTCGGAATTGCAAGCCAGCCAAGCCAGCCAAGCTTGGGGGGGAGCCTGTTCCAC